CACGTGCATGCACGACGATGCGCCACTGCATAAACGTGCGCGATGCGCCACCACCCTTCGTGGCCCACATTTGTCGCTGCACAAGGCGCGTTCTACATCGAAATCAATAAGCGAAAGCCGGTATTAGGTCTTACCAGCTCGCTGCGCTACGCGCATCCATGCGGTTTTCTCGTATTACATCATCCCGAACGAATTATGATTCAGCAAAATAAAGAGAAAAATATTGTTCAAGTTATGAAGTCTCAGCGCGACCGCAATTGATTGAGATTGCAATCTGAATTTTAACACTCGCAGTTCCGAGAATTAATTAAAGATCGATATTTTATAGTTATTGAAATGTTACTATAAAATACTGCTGCGCTTACAATAGAAACTGTATTTTCTGTTGAAGTTTTAATGCAAATAAGTGCATCACGAGATAAAGCTCTTACGTTGCAATAAAAATGACGTATTTTAAAGAATGTATATCATTTTCCTACATCTTGGGAAACGATTTCTCGAAAATTGCGGATGATTCATGAGATCGTAGAAACGTGCCATCTTATTTGCGACGCAGATTTATGCGACAAGGTGTGTCCCAAGATAGTATACAAAATTGCCTCTCGCAGTCTCAACTTCATGTAGTACGGCTTATTGCTGCTTGTAATTATATCTCTTATTTAAATGCCCGAAATAGCGCGACGATAATAGTATTTAAAAAGAACAACTCATGAATTGATTATGAAAATAAAAAAATCATAATATAGTGATAATTAAATATTTTCTTGTCAAAATTAAATCCAAGACAAAAGGCGCGATTATTCGTTTGAAGGTAACACATGTGTGTGAAGGATGCATTAAATATATTTATATAAATGGCGTGACTTCTAATGTAAATGAAAATGTATGTGCCGTAGACTCGTCAATTGCGCAATACAGCGGGTACTCGGTAAGGTACGGACACGTATTTACATTAATCACAAAAATTAGGAAATTGGATTAACCTTGCGTGTCACGAAGAAGGTTAATATATGTACGTGTTACAATCTTGGTAGAAAGATTTGCCGTTGGTTATGTAGATTCTCTATTGACGCGTGATATAAGCCAAACTCTCTATCCTTATGCACGCAATTATACTAATCATATCGCTATAATTATCGCTCATTATCCCCTAATTACTTGCGCTCTCATTATCTCGTAATTATCTACATCATAAACGCTGCTAGTTCGATATCGACTACAAGAAGTGATCACATTTTTTTTATTTCTTACACTCACATTACACAGTTGTAAAAAAATGTTTTTTTATCTGTCTCTCCGTAATGTAAATAACATAATGATTTCAATCTTGAGCGCAAACAAATCTATTGATCATAAATGTATTATAGATCGACAAAATAATGATAATTATATTGTCATACAAACTGTTCATACCTGTATCTCTCGATTCCGTCATTTGGTAAAGATATAAAAATCGCGCTACATAATTGAGCAAATAATCTTCGACACGTTTCATATCTTACGTCATGTACACATGTCGTAACTCTTACGTCAGCGTCCAATTCATAATTCAGTGTATATAGCGCTGGCTCATTTCATAGTTCTCATTGAAATAATTTCTGATATATCTAACCCCTTGCTAACTACGAATTTAGGTCAAGTTGATGACAACTGGACAATGATAACACTATACCCGATGCTCCGTAATTTTTAAAATGTGTCAATTAACGGCTCACACAAGAGGCAAGTGTATCGTTAAACGAACAGTAAAATTTGCTGAAATAATATTATCGAAATATAGCGTGTCGCGCCTACAATTTATATTGCGAAAAAAAAAAAACATCTTACCATTGGTTTCCTCCTGTAAATCGATTTATTATTTTATTCGTTTTAACAGGACGCGAATCTAACACCGGAAGAGAAAATGTTGGAACAGATCACCGCGGCGGAAACCGAGCAACGTTTAATAGCCAGACGGAAATTTCTGGCGGAAAGATGCGCCGAGGAAGGACTCGATCGTCCTGGAAACGATTCACTTCACAGGCCGAACGCCTGGGAATTTCTTGTAAATAAAGAGTACCATCTTATATGGTGCAACGTTTTCAAAGCGGCGTCCACGTCGTGGATGTATAACTTTAACTTACTTGCGGGGTAAGTCGCTACTACATATATGTACATATTAAAGTTTTCCGTCGACGAAAAGAATAAAAATAAAGTCGTATGTATCGCACGTATATCATTTATCGTTGTAGAAAATTGCAAAAGGTGTAATTATAAAATAATATATATTATAAGTTTTTAATTATTACAACTCTACTCCAAACTTGTATTAAATTCTCTATATCGTTAATTTATTTTATTGCTAATTTATTAAAATGGTAATGGATATATTGAACGACTGTCTTTGAACGACGGAGTTGATAACGATTGATCTCTCGAGTAATCATTATTGCATGAATATTGCAGATATAGTCCGCAATTCCTGAAGGCCTCCAAAGCAGTGCCAGTTTCGCTGGCCAGACAGAGATATCCTAGGCCCACCGCAGAAGAGCTAGCTAAATACTTAAACGATAGCATCAGTTTTCTGATAGTGCGACATCCGTTCGAAAGATTGCTCAGCGCTTACCGGGACAAATTGGAGCACAGTCTACCACACACGTTTCATAGCAACCTCGGTGCACACATAGTTTGGCACTACAGAGCAAGGGTAATATCATTTGACAATTTTTAAGAGCAATATCACTTCAGAATCATAAATATAAATGATTCGCAAAGAAACTGTAAAGAAAAATAGAATACAAAACGTGTGGCCCAGATCAATAAAAAAATACTTAGAAATAGAGTCTTTAAAGAATTTTGAGAGAATCAACTTTTCGTGCCTCATTACAAATTTATATGGACAATTTAAATTTGATGAAATTTATATTAATGCCCAGCAAAGAATTACAAAATTGCTTTCTACAAAATACAGGACCCAAAAACGAATACGAGGCAAGGACCGAGGTATCCGCTCTTCGAAGAATTCGTGCGATGGCTATTATGTCAGCGGAGAGCGGGAAACGATCTTGACATGCATTGGACGCCAGTTGTAAATTTCTGCACACCCTGCCAAGTGCGATTCGATATAATAGCTAAATTTGAGACTCTACATGTAAGTGAATTTAATCATCGACAATGAGAACCTACGACAATAGAAAGATAAACAATTTTCACTTATCTATATTTTAAGAAAATTTTCAGTTTAAAGATAGAATATATTAAGTGAAATAAAATGTATTTCGTTAAATTGTCTTTTACGAATTGTTCGAAAATTGCTTTCAACATCATACTTTCTTGTTAAAGGATGATCAAGACTATCTTATAAAGCAAGCTCACGTGGGACATATCATCAAACCCGAGTGGAAAAATCCAACTAGGGGCGTCCAAACAAAAGATGTTATAAAAAATTATTTCACGCAATTATCTAAGACGCAAATCAATGAGCTCTACGAGATGTTCAGGTATGTTTACAGAAATTACATTCGTTATTTTTCGCCTGACAAAAGATGCGAAAAATATATGAATGATTCTACATATGATACCGTGAGAAAAACGTAAAATTATACTCTATCTTATTTCATGTTTCTCTTTCGTATAGGTATGACTTTGTGTTGTTCGACTATTCACCCGAACAGTATCTAACGTTTGGAAAGGATGAAATAACCACACTGACATGCAAGTAATTTGATACTTCGTCCGCGTTTGATACGTGTGCGCGAACGTATTGTAAAATCTCTGATCTGAATGACGCATACATACAACGAAACTGTAGGTAGCACTTAAATGAATTTGGAAGGAGAGGAAGTTATGATATGTATATAGTAACAATCATGCCGTCGATGCATTTCTTACATAGAATTTAAAAAATTGAAATAATACTTAATATATGTTCTGGTTTTATAACTTAATGTAAACTGCATTGTCGTATTAAACATTTTGATAGTGTGCATATGTTAAAGTTTATCGAATTGTCGTACCAACTGTTTTAAAGAATAGAACACAATGGAGACTTATGATAAACAATAATGTCTTGCAAATATGAATGATGTACGGTTCATTACTTGTATAGTTAAATTATTAAGCGAGCTAAATTTTTACAAATTTACAGCTGTCAGCTCTGAAAGCTTTATTGCTATTTAATCTCTAAAAATTTGCATATTTCTCAATTATCTTATGTTTTAATAATAGATTAACTAATAAAAATTACTAAAACCTTTAAACATAAAAATGCAATAAAATTGATCTAAGAGAAAAGTCTATATAGATTTAAAAAGTTTTAGAATGCGACACAATTGAAAAAAATTGGTGATAATTTCAATTTTGCATAATGCAATAAAAATATCTAACTGTGCTAGAGTTGTTCCTAACAACTGCACAATAATTGTATAATTAATAATAATTTGTATACACATGATTACGATATATAATATCACTGTATCAATAGTAATAGTACTGCCTCAAGGAAACATGGTGCAAAATGTTGAAATAATTAATTTATCACATTGTACACATCACTTTAAGAGATGCAGACATTTTGTAGAATTAAATTATCCTAAAAAATTATAAAATGTATATTTCCAAGCGCAAAGAAAAAATTAAATTAATAAAGAAAAACCAGCATATTTGCAGATGATATGTTTTGCTACAGTAGAAATTGATCAAAATAATTGAATATTTAGAATACTTAAGTTCCAAATGAAATATCTACATATATGATTGCAAAATTCAATTATCAAATTTGGATAATACAAATATCTCAACTTGCATTACAAATTTCTATAAAGTAAAACACATTGTTGAATAAAGAAGATTTGTACGATATATATTCTGTGTGTTTACACAATTTTTTACTTTATCTATCTTCTATATCTTTGCAGATGTGTATCTATACATTTATAAATTTATACATTTTCTATTTCGATATGTTTCTCTTTTTGTTTCATTTTCATTGCAGAAAACAGAAATTATATCAGATAACTCACCAACACGATACATTTTGCAGCTCTATTCCAATAATCCACTTATCCTGAAGAACGCACTGCCATTGTGAGATTATTTCCACAATTCTTTCTGCATTACTGATGCTACGCTGTCCTTTTTTCTTCAAGATAGGTTGTCCTTCGACAGTATACAACTGTAATATTAAATACACCGGAAGTTTTGATGAGACAGTTAATTATTAAATATATAGATATATTAAATGCAGGGGAATTAATCCTCGATTATTTGTGTGCAAAGTTTCATGAAAAAAAAAAAAAAATCTAAGAATTTTTTTAACAATACATAAAATTGTAATTTCTTATTAAAAGAAAAGAAGTGTATAAGAACAAAAAAGGAATTGCTCTCAGACTGTTCAGACGCAAGTTGCAAGTTAAGCATCGTATTAATCATGCACCGTAAAAAAAACTGCTTACATCACAATCACAATCCGAATTTGTATCTTCTCCATGAAGCGCGCGCCATTGCAGAGCGTTCAAAATTCGCGAAGTGGCCGTTTTCACCTCCTCGATCTCGTTCGTCGTGGCATCTATCCTATTCTGGACATCGGCGAGCTGTTTCAACAAATGCTCTTCGACAGGATTCGACGGCGCGGTTTGCGCTGATAACGACGTTTCCTCGTCGCTGATAGCGAACATGTCCTCATCGCCGGACATATCCATCGTCCTGTCTCGTTGTATGTCCCTTTCGTTCGCGATATCAATCGATACGTTGATTATACGCACGTTACCCGTATTTCAACGCGACGCCAACCACGTATCGTCGAACAACACCTCCTCCGGGAAAAGGATTATCCGAGAAAATCGCGAGAAAATCACAATGACGTGCTAGCTAACGCGCGCGAATAAACTGGCGGGCTCGCCATTGCAAAAATTTCAAATCACCGTACAAAGTTCACGCAGTGCAGCCAACGTAACCAAACGTAACGGCTAATCGATCATGGCAGACACGTTTACGAATTATCGAGAGAACGGTCGGTAATATCGACGTCTTTAATTACTACAATCGTCAAAATCAATGCTCCTCAATTACCATCGGATTCCAGCTGATAATCGCGAGAAATCTCTCGTCGTCACGTATCTTGGAATAGTACTTGGTCCACGGTGCGTCCGGAAATGCGAAATGTCGCCAGTTGCTTCCCTAGCAACCCATCCGCTCGTCCGTACGTCTGTCCGTCCGTGGTAAACTTAACGTGCGTGCATGCGTGTAGTCGGACATCGCTGGGTTTAACGTGAGATGTGTCTGTCTGTCGCAATTGCGTCGCGATCCCTACTGTCGTCGGACGGTGCGACGACGTGAAAATGGCGGTGTGAAGAAATGGCAGGACGCAGATCGACGCTGACGACGAATGCGGTGGACTCGCTGCCGGGATCGGGCGGCGGCGGTGATCCGCTACGCGAGCTCTTCGAGGCCTGCAAGACCGGCGATCTCGCCAAGGTGAAGGCGTTGGTCAATCCGAAGACGGTCAACGCCCGCGACACCGCCGGACGCAAGTCCACCCCCCTACACTTTGCAGCTGGTGAGTCGAGCTCGAGTACGGAGTTCTGTTCCGTTTCAACCGCGAGCATTGTTCCTCTCTAAACTAATAAGACTATCGGAGAATATAAAAGTTTTTGTAAACACGTGGATTGATAATTAAGAAAGGTTAATGAGCGAGTGTGTCACGTACAGCTGATCGCAGTTTGTTGAGCAGAATTGTCAACTTGTTCTCAAATCGCGAGTATACGCAACTATTTTTTATCGTTGATAATCAACGTTTAAATTTACTTGCTTTAATTTAAGTTTAAATTTTTAAATTTTTTAAATATAAATTTTTGATTTTGATTTTGATTTTTTTCTGCTTGTAAGTTGCAATATTTTTAAGATCATTATATATATGTATAAATTTCTTTAATCAAATTTGTGTGTGGAAACATACAGACAATCTAAAGCTTTATAATAAGAAAATAGAAGGGATAATAGAAAAAAAAATGTACATTTTCTTTACAGACAAAAATAGAAAAATTCTTGAGAAAATATAAAAACTTTTAAGTCAAAGAATTTGACAAGCATAGATTTTAATATATGATTTCTAAAATATGGACAATATTTTATGCATGATATCATTTTGTATTTTTTTAGAGATTATATCATAAATATAAATTTCTCTATACAATTATATATTATAATGTATTAATAAATATAAAATATATAATATATTAGAGAGAGACAGAGAGACAGAGAGAGAGATTATTTATTAAATCTTTATGTTTATTTTTAAAATTTAGGTTATGGTAGAAAGGACGTTGTAGAATTTCTCCTATCCGCTGGTGCATCAATTCAAGCACGTGACGATGGTGGTTTACATCCATTACATAATGCATGCTCCTTTGGACATTGCGATGTTGTGAGATTACTCTTAGAGGCAGGAGCAAGTCCAAATACGAGAGATAATTGGAATTTCACGCCTTTACATGAGGCGGCGATTAAGGTGCTTATTTTATAGCAAAAAAATATACTTATTAACGTGACTTTTTGTCACGTGTAATAAAAGCTGAAGATGGAAATGGTGTCTAACTTTTTCATCTTCATTTGTACTTGGCAGGGTAAAATAGACGTATGTATTACTCTGCTACAGCATGGAGCAGATGTAAACATTAGGAATACAGAAGGAAAGACTGCATTAGAAGTAGCTGATGCTTCCACTAAATCAGTACTAACAGGAGAATATAGGAAAGATGAGCTCTTAGAAGCTGCTAGATCTGGAAACGAGGAACGATTGTTACAGTTGCTAAATCCTCTTAATGTCAACTGTCACGCTAGTGACGGTAGGAGATCTACACCTTTGCATTTGGCAGCTGGATATAATAGATCTAGAGTTGTACAGATTCTTCTTCAGAACGGCGCGGATGTGCATGCCAAGGATAAAGGGTTAGTATATATGCAGACACTCAACTTTTTCACTGTAGCTCTTCATTCATATGATATATTGAGATCTAATCGAAATCTATTGAAATCCTAATCGATTCTTTTACAGAGGTCTCGTGCCACTTCATAATGCCTGTTCATATGGCCATTTTGAAGTGACTGAGGCACTTTTGAAGCACGGTGCCGCCGTCAATGCCAGTGATCTCTGGACATTCACTCCGTTGCACGAAGCCGCAAGTAAATCCAGAGCAGAGGTTTGTTCCTTGCTGTTGAGCGAAGGTGCAGATCCGACGCAATTAAACTGCCATAGTAAGAGCGCTATCGACGTAGCACCGACACTCGAATTACAAGAAAGATTAGCTTGTGAGTTTTAAGCAAATTTATCGTATTATACTTTGTAATGTTATTATTATATTTGTAAATATAATTACAATTGTACACATTTTAAAATCGATATTTAATACTTATGATTTTCAGACGAGTATAAGGGCCACTGCCTATTAGACGCCTGCAGACAGGCAGATCTTACGAAGCTAAAAAAATATCTGTCTCAAGAAGTCGTCAATTTCAAACACCCTTACACCGGGGACACACCGATGCATTGCGCAGTGGCGTCACCTTATCCAAAGCGAAAGCAAATTATCGAGACCTTGATTCGAAAAAATGCTGCCATGAATGAGAAAAATAAAGACTTTCTTACGCCACTACACGTAGCGACTGATCATTCGCATTACGATGCGATGGATATATTACTTCGGCATAATGCGAAGGTCAACGCGCTGGACGGTTTAGGACAAACCGCGTTACACAGGTATCTTTGTTCTAGAAAACCACTGATTTCAATCTCGCCTTTATAAAAAAAAAAATAAAATGTTTTAGTTTAGATTATATTAGTTCATAAATTGTCAATTAATTATTTCCTTACTAGGTGTGCTAGAGAGGATAACGTACAGGCTTGCAGAATACTTTTATCGTACAATGTCGACCCGTCGATAGTATCTCTTCAAGGATACACCGCGGCGCAAATTGCTGCCGAGAATGTATTAAAAATACTGCAAGGTAAAATATTTAATCTGATTTCAGGATTTATTCTCGGAAGAACAATTTTCATTTTTAAGTTTAATTTTATAGATCCGCCGAATGGAACCGATGATGTGGAAGCGCAACTCTTGGAAGCGAGCAAATCGGGCGATCTTGCAGCGGTAGAAAGAATCTTGCAGGCCAATCCACACGCAGTGAATTGCCGCGATTTGGACGGAAGGCACTCAACTCCACTGCATTTTGCAGCGGGTTTTAATAGAGTGCCTGTTGTGGAGTATCTATTAGCACATGGCGCGGATGTGCATGCCAAAGATAAAGGGTAAGTAATTTGCAATATTATTGTAAAGTACAATACTTGTGTGATCTAATTTTGGTTTTTTATATCTTGTAAATAGAGGATTCCTCTATAAAACGAATAATTTACGATACTAGTTTTTTTATCTTTCTATTGGTATTTATACTTTATTTATACTTTACATATTTATATCAATTATTTCTCTGTATACTTTTTAAATATTCTTTGATCTGTAGTATAATTCAATCTTTACCTTTATCTACAATTTAATTAAACTGCTCTTAATAAAACTAATTCAATAAAATTTAATAAAAAAAACATTGGACATTATATCTATTTTATAATATGATGAAATAGTGGATTGGTTCCTCTTCACAACGCTTGCTCTTATGGACACTACGAAGTCACGGAATTGTTGGTAAAACACGGTGCGTCTGTAAATGTCGCCGATTTGTGGAAATTTACACCACTTCACGAAGCCGCCGCCAAAGGCAAATACGAGATAGTTCGATTACTATTGAGACACGGAGCAGATGCCACTAAAAAGAACAGAGACGGCGCGACACCATTGGATCTGGTAAGAGACGGTGATCAGGATGTAGCGGATCTCCTGCGTGGAAATAGCGCTCTTCTGGATGCAGCGAAGAAAGGCAATTTAGCTAGAGTTCAGCGACTAGTCACGCAAGACAACATTAATTGTCGAGATGCACAAGGACGCAATAGTACTCCGTTACATTTGGCCGGTAATTTATATCACTCTTTATAAATACATAAATATCGATAATCTATTCTCTTTTTTTTCTGTTCTTAATAATTTTTTGAGTCGCTTCTTTACACCTTTGGTTATCCTTGTTTTGTTAATTTAAGAATCGAATTTTTTCTTGTAAGGAGATGAAAATAAAAAGATTTTATTCTTATATGTAGTTTTACACATAGATTATGTTTCTTTTTTATACAGCGGGGTACAATAACCTGGAGGTAGCTGAATTTTTGCTCGAACGTGGAGCAGATGTAAACGCGCAAGATAAAGGCGGCCTTATTCCTTTGCATAACGCGTCGAGTTATGGTCACTTGGACATTGCAGCCTTGCTCATTAAATATAACACTGTAGTGAACGCGACTGATAAATGGGGATTTACACCGCTTCATGAAGCTGCGCAGAAAGGTCGAACGCAACTATGCGCCCTTCTGCTTGCGCACGGCGCCGATCCCTTCCTGAAAAATCAGGAGGGACAGACTCCGGTGGATCTAGCCAGCGCGGACGATGTAAGGTGTCTATTACAAGATGCTATGGCTTCTCAGCAAATCGTTCCATCGGTACCATCTGGCAATATGATCAACAGTACTGGCGGCAATCCTGTTAACAGTAGGCCACCCAGTATTGTATCCGGTAAGAATACTTTGTAATTGTTTTAAAATTCTTCAAGCTTGATTAAAATATATATTAAACATAAAAGAGGCAGAAAACATTCTAAAAAAATATAGAAACAAGAAATATATAT